ATTCAATCTAAAACAAGCAATCGATCAGGAGCTCCGATAACTGAAGTTTTAATGGTATTTTACGTAGATTTGCGTATAAAATAAAAGTTGCACTTATGAAACAAGTGAATAATGTACTGATAGTCAACAGGAATTAAAATACAGTGGTTAAAAATATAACTACTTGTCAGAAGGTATACAAAGTTGCCATGTCTAGAGAAATTGAATGATTATAGAAAACTCATAAAGTTAAGCGCTACAGCGTGAAAAGAAAATTCTGGAATAAACATTGTTAAGAAAATTAGATGGAGAAATAATCCTTAATTTATTGATATCTATATAAACTTCACTGGGACTAGAAACTCGGGTCGAACTACCAATGTTTAGTGACTTTTCCGCTTGATCATAAGACCTTTTGAAATTAGGCTGAACAATATATTAAAGAAAATGGAAGATACATCACACGTAAGAACAAAAGTGGGCTGAATTAGAGATTTACATGTTTAATGAATGAGTTAAACTTATCTGTATGCCATTATGAAATATTAGGAATGTAGCATAAAAGCATGAGTGAAGAAGGCAATGGCAATCTAAATCATTTTAATCTAAATGTATAACATTATCAGTATCTGCTATTAATTTCAATACTGATGAAAAAATTATAAATGAATTATATTATAAATCACATGAACTCGTTGCATTATAAATTTCAACAGTTAGAAATATTATTAGCGTGATTTAATGACCATCTTTGTTAACAAATAATTTCAAGTAATTAATTTTACAAATAATTCAACCTGAAACTAGGTTAGAAAACAAGCTATATGCTGAAGATTAAAGCTTTGCCAAGGTGTTAGAAACATCTACTGTTAACTAGAGTTGTGATGCAAGAATTTGTAAAAATTATCATTTAAATATAAATTGGCATAAATACAATACAAAGTACATAAATTCTACATACATGAAAACTTGAGTACAGTGCAACAATATGTGAAAAAGGAATGGATTAAAAGGGAACTGAAAATCCCAGGATAGTTCCGCAGTTCAACGGTAAGATATGAATATAAGGGAGTTCGATTTTTTTTGGAGGGGGGGGTGTTGTTGTTGTTGTTAATAATGAAAATTCTGCAGACGCTCATCATTATTAATTTATTTATTAAATGTGTATTAGGAATTAAATGTATGCCAAAGTACATCAGGTGGAAAACAGAATAAATATTTAAACGTTTCTAGTATTAAAATATGGAATTTGTAACAAAGTTAAATAACCTTAAAATAACTTCAATGACTAAAAATGGAAAGTTTAGTACGGGAACATATTTCACTAATATTAGTGTGAATTTAGAACGACTTAAGAAGTCCAATTTTTAGATTTAATAAAGAGAATTTTTTAAATTAACTGTTTACCTAAAATGGTAAATTTGAAAGTTAAAACCATTCTGCTATCTAAGAAGATTTGTTAATATTTATCTAGACAAGAAACTTATTTAAGGTGAACTACAAATCCGATATTTGATAGGTCGATTATGTATCAGTTTTGTGTATGTCATTAATCTATCAAGTTTACTATTCAAAACTGATATATATATATATATCAGCGATTAAAATCTACAACTTGGAAAGGTTTTAATTCTTACAGAGAATAAAAGAGATCTGTCTCCTCATTGCTTTAAGCATCATAAAATTTTAAAATGAGTGTAAAAGAAATTTATTTTTACTTTAGCACATGCCAGACTTTAAATTAATATTTGTTTTGCATGCACAATTTTTACAATATTGATAAACGAAAACAAAGGCACTTGCAGTCTCAATAGAATGTCCCATTAATGGCGATAAATGGCTTTTTGTAGCACCCAATCTTCTTGGGAAAGAAATAGGGGACAGGAAACGTCGCGCAGTTCGTGGATTAGAAAAGAGGGGGACGGGGATTTTCGATCAAATTTGGCGCATTTCGTACCCTACCCAATGGTTGTATCCAAGTCTGGGGACAGTGCAGTGGCAGACACCATAATTGCTGCACTATGCATCGCCTTACTATTCTCTCACCTCGAGTTATGGTATAGAATAACACTGGATTTTATTTTGACACTTCCCTAACATGTAATGGCAGCACTCTCAACCGCCATTGCAACATCTCCGAAGTTTTGAAATCATTTATCCTCTCTAACTTTCAAGTTTTGCATTTGTTTGTTGCAAGTTTCAATAGACCATTACAAAACCACATGTAGCATTCAACAATTCTTTGCCTAGATTGCACTGCTGCCTTGGCCTACCCATTCTAATGGTATGACAACTATCAAACACATCAAGTTAATGATTTGCAGGAGGGGGGAAAAAGAGATTAAGTTTTTAACTTAAAAACAGAGTGGAGTTAGTAACAACTGTTTTGGTGAATATCAGAAGCAATCTTAAACGCTTAGATTATATAAATAGCTGAGTTCCTGAGTTTAATGCAAAAGCAAAGATACGACGATCTTCATCCAAGTGTAAAGGCATTGTGTGCTAATAAGTATATTATTATAATATCAGTTTTGTTGCAATCTATTGCTTTCACATTGCAAAAAATATTTCCTTTGCAAATATCATGTTATTTCAATGTTAATGTCCGTGTCATTCTAATATTCTGTTGCTACAAAAATGTTACACATTAAAAAAGGGAAACACTCATAAAGTAGACGAAGTGTAACACAAGAAAAATAAAACTAAGTTTGTAGCTTGAAAACAGAGGGAAGTTGGCAACAACTGTTTGGTGACGTCATGCCACACACCTCCTCTATCCATGCGGCCATTTCGACTTAACCGACCTCGCCAGAAATGCGTCATGGAGCGAACACCTGCAACTGCATTCTGCAGGAAAAATCTCTAATGTAAAAGCCTAACAGGGAATCTACATAAAGATTCTTGCGAAACTTAGGAAATCAGCCACGCAGGAAACATTTCAAATATTAACCGAGGCTTATGGAGATGAAACTTTGTCTCATACACGTGGGTTTGAATGGCATAAGCGGTTTTCAGGGGGAAGGGATAGAGTGGAAGATGATGAACGCGCTCGATGCCCTCTTGAGCGCCCAGCACGTTCATCATGATCGAATGGGTTCCCAGTGATGAGATTGTTGATCAACACTACTACATTGAAGTACTAAAAAGACTTCGTGAAAAAGTTAGAGAAAAAAGTCACAGTTGTGGAGTGATGGATGGCTGTTGCACCAGAACAGTGCACAAGCTCACTCGGCCCTATCTGTCAAGCAGTTTCTGACCAGCAAAAACATAACCTGTGATGAGGCATCCTCCTTATTCACATGATTTGGCTCCACGCTACTTTTATTATTTCCTAAAGATAAATCTTACTTAAAGGGTACCCATTTTACATTAGCTTAAGATGTTCAGGCAAAAACGGAGAATCTCCGGAAAGGCCTTCCAAAAATCTTGTTCTAGAACTGTTACCGGCAATCGCAGCACGGAGTGCAGAAGTGTGTAAAAGCTGAAGGGAACTACTTTGAAGGTAATAATGTCATGGAGAACCTATTCTGTAAGTAGTATGATTTATTGGACCAATCTCTCTCTCTCTCTTTTTTTTTTTTTTTTTTTTTTTTTTTTTTTTTTTTTTTTTTTTTCGTGTGTGTGTCACGCCTTATATATCAGCTGCAGCTATGCCAGATGAACCATGGCAAAATGTTGAAACAGAGTGGATTCATACACGCAAGCACACATCAAAAGCTTCTTTTTTTTTTTTTTTTTTTTTTTTTTTTTTTTTTTTTTACTAATAAAGCACGTCACAGCAGTCATTTAAATAGCCAGCAGCCAGCAGTGTACATTGAAGGGATAAGAGTCTCACTGCAGGTAGGGATTATTTGGAGGGAAAAAAATTGTTGCTACACAAATATATAATGCATTTTTACTTTGTAACTTATTTACTAACTATACTGCGTAAAAATCTTAAATACAAGCTAACCGTAATTTGCTTATTTGTTTGAAAATAAAGCAAATTCCAGTTCAAAGAAAAATTTTTAAATAAAAATGTTGAGTAATTGACAGTTTAATACAATTTTCTGAAGAAAAGTAGAATAAATGCCTTAAGAATAAAATTCTTTTATTTGTAATAAATTTTACAACTTCTTTCATTTGTTAGAAAAATAAGAGAGTTTCAAATGAAAAAACGAAAAATTTCTGTTTGGAAATTTCTTAGTACTATTCTAATTACAATCACCTTTCAATTAAGAGTCAAATGTTATTTTTTCTCTTGATTTAACGATGATAAATAATCTCTATATTTTAAAGTAATACATATATTCATATATTAAGTGAGCGGGCTATGCCTAACGTGACCATTTATTTTTTGAATCAAAACGGGACATTGGTTTATTTAAGTCAAATCATAGGTAGTCAATGAAAAAACAACACTTTTTTAAAGTTATTTATTCAGAAAAAGTTAGTTGGCTTAAAAGTTATGAATCACAAAATATAGGTACCCAAAATTTTCAGTTATATTTATATTTATCAGAAGAACAAATTTGTTTTAATATAACTGGTGACGATTTCAAGTAAGAATAAAACTCTTGGCACGTTTTTTTTATATTCACCTTAATTATCAACATCGCCTTTAGAACTGAAATTTGTAACAGGGTTTTCTCAGATGTCCACAATTTGTTCATAATAGAAAATACTCTTTCTACTGGAGTATTTGTAGCAGGCAAACATAACATATATTCAGTAACAATAGAAAAGTTTTCATGCTGAAGACTGTTGGCGCGAAAGTGTTTGAATACCGGTTTCTGTGGAAACATTTAAATTATTCCATTTCGTTATTTTTTGCGATGTAATGTAATTAGAAATTAATGAAAATTCGTCAAAAACTTCAGTATCTTTATTACAGTCAATATATTGCTTTTCAATTAATAAATACATCCAGAGATTTTTGAATGTCTTCCCATGTGGGGACCTTTTTTGAATCTACCCAATAAAATATCTCCATTTCTTTGGTAAGAAAGCAAGTCCACTGCTCCAGATATTCACGGCTTGTTTTATAAAATTCTGTAAGCCGTCCTTTTCACAAATTCTTCATCGATAGCAGTACCACTATCTTTCAATTTTAACATTAATTGACGGACCATAAATGGAAGAAACTGATTGGCCTGTTTCTGAGTTAAATTGTCTTTTAATTGATTGATTTCTTTTCCAGCTTCAATTGCCGATACAGTCTGACCTTCAAGTTTTAAGACAGCTTGATAAAAACATGCTGACTGAGCGTGTAAAAAATAAAACCACAATTCGGATGTGGGATCTTCAGAAAAGTTTTTTGTAACAGGGGACATTTTTCAATACTCAAAAAGTAGCTTTTTAACGGCTGATACATTTTTAAAACCCTCTCCAAAGCAGGCATAAGAGCAAGCCATCTGGTTTTGCTATAGCCGAGCATTTGTTGATATTCCGTTTCAGTTTCGGCACAAAACTCCTTTAGAGCTTCAACTCGAATCGTATAAATATAAAAAAATGAATATATCTTCACAATAACGCTTTCGTAATCTACGGGTAGCCCATCTGCAGCAGATTTTATTGCATTGTGAATTACATGGGCTCCACATCCAATACCTATTAATTCTTTTTTCAGAGATGATTGTAATTTCGTTAATACATTGTTAGTTCCTCGCCTAACTGCACCTCCGAAATTGACGTTGGCATTGTCCCCACAAAATGCTACGACTTTTGCTGTCAAATTATTATCTGTCAACACTTGGTTTAAATAATTGACAATGGTGTCAGAAGTTTCACCAGGTTGGTCTTGGAAATCTAAAAATTTACTTGCACCCCTACGTAAGGTTGAAAATAGCGCATTACAATGGGGTATGTTTTCTTGTTACCGTGGTTTGACGCGTCGTTTAGTATTGTAATACAGTTGCACTTATCAAGGTCGTTTTTTAATTCTTTCTATTAATTTTGCTGTAGGCGTCAAAACATTTACTACAATAGCTTCTGATTTCGTACGCGCGCATGTAAATTTGGGATCAAAACATGATTGAATCAATTTCGATGCATAATCATTAGAGCGAAAACTGTGGTTTTCTTGTATCGTGTAATAAGCCCAGACGCCTTCTGCCGCGGCGATACCAAGTCCTTCAAAGTTGGCGCGTCCGATTTCTTGAAAAGGTTTAACAATGAGGAACTCGAAGCGGCGGCACGATCGGCATTTTTATGTTTCTCAGACTTTAAATGCTGTTCAATATCACCGCCACCACTGTGGGGAACACTAAATTCTGTACGACACGTTTCACATCTGACATCTGATGGAGTATTTATATGCTTGATAAACGGATATTTTTCTTGTAAGCTAACATTGAACGAACACATGCGTTTCGGAATTTTAACTTGTGATTCCGAAGCAAAAGAAATTTAAATTATTTATTACACGAGCATCAAACAAAAACAAAACAAATAGCGAGAAGTGGGCAAATGAAATGTTTGTCAAACACTAGTCAATAAGTCAACAAAACACAAGCGATATGACGTCTTGCCCACTCTCGGCTATCGTTGCGTCGACGATGATGCGGTCTCACTCTCGCACAACGCTAGCTCGCGTCCGGTTGGTGCGCGCATCACATCGCGGCGGCGTGCAGGGCGTGGCCGACCGTCTGCTATTCAAATTTTCGCGCGGTTTCTGAAAACGGGACAATTTTGCGTCCCACAGTCCATTTCGGAGACACCGGGATTCGTAATTGTAAAAAGGGACAGTCCCGTTCAAAACGGGACCTCTGGTCGCGTTAGCTATGCCCACTGTATTCAAGTAGCATCTCTCTGCACAAGGAGGTTAGAATAGACCAGGGTTTCTTAAACTATGGGTCACGACTTCCAAATGGGTCGCGGGAACTGCAGCAGGGGGGGTCACCAAATATTTTAGCAGTTTTGATGTTTCTTTAACTTATTATAATAATTTTACAATTACCAAATATTTTTACACAATGTATCTGAAAATAGATAAAGATGAAAATAGATAGATAAGACAGACAAAGAAAAACAGCGAAAACATTTCGACGCATTCTTTTTATAATATAAACGTTCATTTTCCTTGCTTTGCATGTGACGCTGTCATTTCGTCTGTTACTTATTTAAAATGTTCACATTGTTCTATGCGTTAAAATTAAAGTTAATAGCACCTAAAACTGCAATAGTATGTTACAGTAGCAAGTGAAAAAATTGACAGTTTCACTCACTCGTGTGTCAGATTTGCGTAATACTTATGGGGTCCCATAAAATTTTTGTAAATATTATGGGGTCCTGGGGGTCACGAAAAAATCTCTATGATAAAAAGGGATCGCGACTGAAAAAAGTTTAAGAAACTCTGGACTAGACTATTCTAAACTTCTTGGTTCTGCAGGGCTTACGCTTCATGCATGCGCAGTGATATGATTCACTAGCGTGATATGATTCACTAGCATGCGCAGTGATATGATTCACTAGCGTAAAAGGCAGGCATCTGCTATACACTGTTGGGATTGTATCATAAGATTGGCGATAAATGTTGTTCCGTTAAATATTGTCACGCTAGAGTTAACCTGACTTACCGGTTTACTTGCGTCTTATATTATGAAAGAAAATTTTTTGTGTTTGGAATGTTCGAAGTCCTATTCATTCCGACGAAATCTACATGCGCATATTGTTAAATGCCATCCTTCGAAATTATACGAATTAGCTCCTATATTAAGAATTGCTCTCAAATTTACATGTGATGATTGTTAGGAAGTTTTTTTAAAACAAGCATTTCAAAAATTTAGGGATATTTTATGGGAATCAAAAGCACTTTGATGAAGAATTTTAAGGTTAAAGGCATTTTTTAAGAATTTTGGATGAAAGCATTTCTTATAGGGATATTTGAAGCGGTGGAAATCCTCTCCCTACGGCCCCATGACTTCAAATTTCTGGGTGCTGAGACAAAGAATATGACTGAGAGACATTCCCTAGAAGAAGGTTGTCGGCCAATTCTTCAAAAAGGGGCTTCTTTTTCGTTTTGAAACGTAACCTTTCATAGAAGCATAAGGCAACTAGACTTCAACTTTAATTAAAAACTCGACGATTTAAAAGAAATGTATTGACACTAAGCAAATCGTAAAATATTTGTCTTTTTAATTTAATAAAAGATCTCAGCTGTTTAAATGAAGTGTGTTGCCACTGCTTTAAATAGTTTATTTTTATATTGCGGGTATCAGTTAGTTGCCATTCGGCGAAGCATAAACTAATTAGTTTCTCATTTCAGTTTAATCTCCCTTGTAGTTTAACACAGCGTTTCCCAACCTTTTTTGGCCAAGGCACACTTGTCGCGGGGAAAAAAATCACGAGGCACACCACCATTAGAAAATGTTAAAAAATTAACTCTGTGCCTATATTGACTATAATAAAGTAATTCTCTTGAATAGGAATCAAATAAGCACAAAGAAAGTATTTTATAATTACTTTATTATGAAATATTAAGTAAACAGAATAGTGAAAAATTATAAAATACTTTCAGTGTGGAACCTAGGCCTGTTTGGCTGAACACAAAGCTGATATTCTGGCTGGAATCGAAGAAAGACACACACGTAGCTCTTCGTCAACAGTTCTCAGTCTCTCTCTGTATTTTTGGTTTTCATACATAGCAATCATGCTTGAAAAGCTAATCTCACACAGATATGTAGTGGAAAAAGGGAGCAATGTCAAAATAGCTTTGTTTGCCAGAAGGGGGAACTCCTTGGCAGTATCCAACCAAAAACTGTCCAAAGGTAGATCAGCAATCTTAGCTTGCAACCACGATTTTGTCTCAGTTCAATTAGTTCCTCCTGCTCCTGTAAAGTCATTTCCTTTCCAACAACTGATGCTGAGCTATAAGGGTCCCTAACCCAGTCAAGGCATTCAGTGGAGACTGAAGAGAAATAAAATGACAACTTCTCCTCAAGAGTTTTTAAATGCTTAACTATTATCTCACACAGTGCAGCAGTGTGAACACCTTGCCATTGCATGGTGAGTGTGAACATTTCAAGATTGCCACTTTTCACGTGTTGATGCCAGAGTTGCACCTTTGAACGGAATCCATTTATTTTATCTGTACTTGTAAGCAGGTTTTCATTTCGGCCTTGCATTCGGGTGTTCAATTCATTCAGATGATGAAATATATCTGCCAGGTATGCCAGCCTTGCACACCACTCATCACTTGCAAGTTGCTTTCCGTAATATGACCCCTCATTTGTCAGAAACACTTTAAGTTCCTCCCGCAGCTCATACACACGAACCAAGACCTTGCCACGCGACAACCACCGGAACTCCGTATGAAACAGCAAGGTTTTATGCTTTGCTCCCATCTCCTCACACAAAGCTGCAAATATGCGACTTTTCATGGGTCGTGACTTTACAATGTTTACCATGCGCACAACATCATCCAACACATGAACTAAGGCTGATGGTAAAGTCTTGGCTACGAGGGCCTCGCGGTGTAAAAAACAATGCGTAATAATCACATGTGGATTTCTTTCCTTCACTCTGCTTACAAAGCCTTTGGTGCGCCCGACCATGGCTGCAGCTCCATCGGTGCAGACACTTGTGCAGTTTTCCCACTTAAGTCCTCCTTGTTCAAGGTATTCTGATGTGACCCGAAAAATTTCTTCTCCTGTTGTTTTTTCTGGCAATACCTTGCAAAAAAAGAAATTTTCTCTAATTGCATCACCATCAACAAAACGCACATTAGCTAAGAGTTGAGCATGTCCACTGATATCAGTAGACTCGTCAAGTTGCAATGCAAATTTCTCACTGATACGGATCTTTTTCCAAAACCACACTTTCGATGTCTGCAGACATGTCATTAATACGTCTGGAAATTGTGTTGTTTGAGAGAGGGACTTGGGCTATTTCCTTTGCTGCTTCAGGTCCGAGCATCTCCTCTACAATAGCTTTGCAGGCAGGAAGTATTAATGTCTCTGCCCACAGTGTGCGACTTTTTTGTCTTGGCTATAAGTTCAGCAACTTGATAGCTAGCTTTAAGAGCTCTTTCATTTACATTTGTTGTTTTTCTCATAAAAGTTGCCTGTTTCTCCATGTTGTCACGCAGGCGAACAAAATAGTCCACATTCTTGTTTTGAAGCAAAGGGTGTTTCGTTTGGAGATGGCGTTTAAGTTTGCTTGGGACCATAGCACTGTTAGCTAGCTTTTCACCACACACCACGCTCAGTGGAGTTGGTTTGTGTTCATCTCCAGTGAAAGTAAATCCAACTGAAATATAGCTTTCGCTATATTGCCTTACGCCAGAGAATTTAACCATCTTTGCTTTCTTTTGACCCCCACTCATACTCGGGCTCTCATCTGGCTCCAGATTTTGTTCAGAGTCCAGTTCTTTCCTTTTCAAAAACTTGTCCATCACTGCAGTATCAGTGTCTCTCTCCTCACAGCAGCCGTTGTCTCTCTGACACTGTGTGAGGCGTCTGCCTGCGTCTCATGGGGGCGGGAACACGGCGGACACTTGTCAAGATTGGCAGGGGGAGGAGTTATAGCACTGCACAGCGCCGTGACCACCTATGACACTGGCGGGGGGAGTGACGGGAAGAGTTATAGCGGGCGAACAGCACCGTGACATCCAGACCCGGCGGCACACCACGGTGCTTCAGACGGCACACTGGTGTGCCGCGGAACAGCGGTTGGGAACCGCTGGTTTAACAAACTAATCGGCTTAAAAGCAAAATACTTATTTTTAAACTCTGCTTCATTATTTTGCAGTTGTATGTGCAAAATGAGACTAGCTGAATTTTGTAAGATTAGCATTTGATTATTTTCTTTCTTGTAGTAACTATTTTATGGGGCTTGTTATTGGAAAAGTGAAAAGGACAACAAACGTGTTTCGACGTAAAACTAATAATAAATGACGTTCAACGTAAATTAATAATAACTTTGCTACCTCTATATATAATAAAAGAAAGAGTCTGTCTGTATATGTGTCTTTCGTTCTTTCTGCGCGTGAGCTAATAGACCCAGGGCTACGAAATTTGATAGATATGGAATTAATGTAGACAAGAGCAAGTGCATCTCGAAGCGATATTTTCAAAATTCGAACTGCTGACTGTTGAAAATATGAGATAAAATATTATTAATTATACACGCAACACGCACATCGCAGTCTTCTTATTCTGACGCGCATGTCTCGCGAGGCACAACAGAAAGAATTTCCCTTCATCTCTCTCTCTCTCTTTATTAGCAAAGAGGTTTGTATAGTTTGAATTATGTCATCCACGAAGTACAATTTTGATTGGTTATTGCTTTTTGATGATAGTTTCATTCTTTTAGAAATGTGGTTTTTGCAACAGTTTATCTTTCATTGCTTTGGATACTGGAGTGCTGACTGTTTTCTCTTCAAAATATGAGATTGATAGCTTCTTTCATTGTAATTTTTTATATTATATTTTAATTATATATTTAATTTTAATTGTATAAAAAGTTTGGCATGATTTTTTTAGGAAACAAAGTTCTTAACTTCCTTTATACCATTTGAATTGTTAAGATTTTGCACAACGAGAATTGTTGGTTAATTTATTTATTAGGATAATTACTATTTGTATTAAGGGATACTGCTTATTTTAATTTTAATTTTTAATATGGGATACATTTTTATCGAATTTTTATTTACTTTTTTATTTAATTTTTTATTATATATATATAGATAGATATATATATATAGATATATATATACATATAAAGTAGTTGCTCTGCAGAATAAAATTCTGTGCAGGTTTTAAATTTAACATTTGGTTTTCCCTTTAGGCATTTTTACACTACATTTAAAAGCTAGACAAAGGCTGGCCGCTTAGCGATTAGTATGACAATAAACGAAACCAAGCCAAACCTGAACGCACATTCAGTAAGAGAGCAGTGAGAGTGGGAAGCACTTTTTAGTTTTGTCTCACTCTAGAGACATTGTTTCATAAAACTTTCCTGGACGTTTTGCAATCCATTAGCATTCAGAACAGTTATGGAATATGCATATTGTGCATTGAATCTATAAATTGAATATTTCTGTATTCAGTATCTAAGCACACTGAATTCATGTAAACTCTAAAGCGTCTCAATAACTAATGTTTTATCTAATACTAGCCGCTATTCGGCCAGCCTTCGTCTGTCTTTTAAACGTACCGGAAAAATGCTTAAAAGACATCGATGGCCGCGTAAGTTCTTCCACCTTTTTTCTCTTGAATAAAATTAAAATTTTTTAAACAGTTTCTTACTCGATAGTTTGAGTGATTCTTTTTCTGAAAAATTGAAATGTTATGATACTTTAGGAATCTTCTGAGAAAATGCGTCAACAGTCACATAGCAGCCATTTAACTTGAGAGCATTTCACCGCATAGCGGCAACAATTTTTCATCGTGTTTCTTATGTCACTGTTTTTAAGAGATTGGCATATCTACATATAATAAAAGAAAGATTGCAAAGGGAAGTTGGTTAATTTATTTATTAGGATAATTAATATTTGTATTAAGGGATACTGCTTTCACTGTTTAGGTCAACAACCTAAACAGTGAAATGAGCAAAATAAATAACGTAAAAGAATACAAAAAACTAAAATTCTGAAAAGACAAGTATAATTAATGATATTTTATCTTATATTTTCAAGAGAAAAAAATTACAATGTAATAAGCTATATCCGTTAATACGAATATTAATTATCCTAATAAAAAAATTAACCAACTGTCCGTTGAAGAAAAAAAATCATGCAAAACTTTTCAATATCTTACAAACAGTGAAATAAGCAAAACATAACATGAAAGAAGCTCAAAAAACAAAAATTCTGCGCAGAATTTTACTCTGCAGAACAACTTTATCAAAAAAAAATCAATAAAAATGTATTATATATGTGGGATTTTAAATCCATAGCTTAATATTTTTCCTCGCGCGCTGTCTAAATATTAGCTGTTGACTGCACGAGTGAAATTGATAGAACTCTCGCCACTTTGTTTTATGAGATGTAAGATGTTGTTTTATAGATGTAAGATGATATAGATGCTGTATTAATAGATAAACGATGTTATAGATTTTGTATTAATAGATAAACGATGTTATAGATTTTTGTATTAATAGATGAACTATATTGTAGATGTATTAATGTTTTATTAAATGTGTTTTGTTTGAATATGACTTGTGATTTCGAAACTAAAGAACCCACATATATATAAAAAAATGACAATGAAATATGCCAATCTCTTAAAAATAGTGACATAAGAAATACGATTAAAAATTGTTGCCAAACCCATATTTCTAAAAAAATGAAACTATTCAAAATGATGCGATTTCATCAAAAATCTATCAACAACAAAAAGGAAGGAAAATTGTTGCAAAAATGACATTTTTAAAGATGTGAGATGTGAGGTTTGTACTCGAAAGCTTTATTCAAATTTTTTTTAAAAAATACAAAATATTATCATTTTTCCAAAATTCTTTCTGTAAAAGCAGTCGCAAGGATGAAAGTTTAACGTGTCCAAAAATCAAAGAAAAATAAACTGTACATTTTTAAGAATAAACTTTTTTAGAAAAAATCCTGTTGAAAAGCTGTTAAACTCACTTTGTTAAATAAATTCGTATTTAATCGATTTATTGAAACACGAAATTTATTTTAAGTTCGTAAAATAGCTAAGTGCCTACGTTTCAAGACTATGTGAAAATGGAGTGTGTAGAGTAAAATCTCGCTTTCCTATAGCCCATTATGTCTCGAAATGACGCGATTTCGTCACAAAACATAAAATAAAAATATCCTAATTCGATTTCGAAAAAATCGCGTCGAGGTGCACTGGCTCTTGTCTAGATGCATCTATGTACCAAATTTCGTAGCCGTGGGTCTATTAGCTTACGCGCAGCGCGAACAAAAGACACACACACAGACATTTTTCTTTCTTTTATTATATGTAGAGAAAACTAGCGGAAGTATCCCATGTGAAAGTTAAGTAAGTTAGATTGAGGGTAATGTATCTAACAAGAGAGCAAAGGATACCGCTGTAATTCTTCTCTAATAATGATGCAAAAATGAGTGAACGATACCTCTATAATCCTTCTCTAATAACAATGCAAAAAATAAGATTCATAGTCATACATTTTTCAGTCTGATGGGATATGAAACGCATTTAAAATTTCCATAGAAAAATAAGCTTATTTCTCTCTTACTATACCAGCAACAGTAGATCGCAGTTTTTAATGATTTTCGTCTTTCTAATCCAATGGTCGTAAAAGCTCAAGTTCCATCCACTATTTCACATATACACTACTTTAGTCGATTAAATGTGCCAAAAAATGGATCATAGTTAATTAGAAATCAATTATGCGAACAAAAAAACACACAAACGGACATTCTTCCTTATATATATAGATTTTGTAAGACTAACAAATTTTTGATTAACAAACTTAACGATGTGAAAGCCAGCAGTAGCAACACTTTTCGAAATAAAGCATCTTTATTTCCAACGCGCTAGACTGTTGCCACTCGGAAAAATGAGTACAAAAATTAATGTTTTCGGAGTTTTTAATTAATATCTCGGCTGATTAAAGTCGTACGAAGATGGGAATAGTCGAAATGACTTCCCACGAATTTTTATAATCGGGAATAATGTATTTAATGTTCGGCAGTGCTATTTGTATTTCATCGTAAAACTTAGAAATTTTTTGTTAACAAACTCTAGAATTTGAAAGTGATCAGTGGCAACAACTTTCGAATGAAAGCAGATTTTCATATCCAGCTTGCGAGACTTGCCACTCGGAAAAATGAGGGCGAAAAATTATCGTTTTTCCGAGTTTTTAATTAATATATCTGATTTTAGCTACTTTTTTCGCG